TATTTAAGTTAAAGAAAACTATATTTTTATTACCTTAGTTTAAGGTATTTTTTAATTTTTACTAAAGTTTTTAAATAGTTTTTTTAATATTAACCCCTACTACTATAATATTAATATTATTTATATATTTAAAGTAAATATTAAGGTTATTAAGCTTTAGGCTAAAGGAAAAATAAAATATAAAAATAATAAAGGAAATAAAGGACCCCTATAGGGCTTTATATTTTAGCTTTATCTTTAAAAAAGTAATCCTATACCTATTTTAAATAAAAACTTTATAATTATTTATAAAAAGGTTAATTTACTTTATAAAAAAAAAAGACTACTTTTATTCCTTAAGTTTATATATTAAGTAATTATATATAATAATATTAAATATATTAAAAATATTAAATATAAGGAAGAAAATAATAAAACCTTAGGCTAAGGTAACTTTAGTATTATATAATAAATAAGTAATTAAGTTTATTATAGATTTTTTTAAAAAAACTTTAAAATATTATTTTAATAATATTTTATATTTTATTACTAAAAAAAAGATTTTTTTAATTAAAAATCTTTTAAGGCTTTTACTTATATAAAAATATAAAAAAATAGGTTTATAGCCTTTATATATAGTATATACTTTTTTTAGCTTTTTAAGTTTAAGAATAATAATAATTTTTATATTTTAAAAAAAAAGTAAGTAGTATTTTATTATTAAATATTTATAAAAAAGGTTAATTATATATTTACTAATAATAAGCTAAGTAAATTATAAAAAAGTAATTAATATATTATTTATACTAAGTATAATATTTCCTAACTTTATTATAGCTTTTTTAGCCTTTAATTTTAATATTATTTAATTTTAGTAAATATTTTTATTAATAAGAAAATCTTTTTTTTATAGGTTTAAAATATTTTTTTTTATTATTTTATACTTAAGAAGTTTATTTTTAAAAAAGGTTATTTTTTTTATAAAGTTTAAAATACTTTTATTTTTATTTATTAAAAAAAGTAATTAAAAATAATCTATTACTTTATATTATTTAACTACTCATTAAATATTTTTAGTAGTACTAGCTTTTACTATAATTTTATTTTAGTAGGCTTACTTACTATAATATATAGTATTTTTAAAAATTTTATAAGTTTTTTTATAAATAAAGGAGCTATTTACTGCTTTTTTATAGGCTTTATAAGCTATTTTATATTTTTTTAACTATTATAATATACTATAGCTATTTTAATACTTAGTTTTATTAACTGCCTTTATAACTTATTTAAAAAGGTCCTATAGGGCTTTAGTATATTTATTTAAGTTAATTTCTAATAATATAGTTAAATTAACTATAAGAAGGGTTTAGGTAAAGGAGTATATAAGCTAACTAAAGTTTTTTTAATATTTTATTAAAATATATTTTTTCCTTACCCCTGGGGTTATTTTTAAAGGCCTAAGTAAGTTTATAATTACTATATAATAGTTTAACCTTATATTAAGGAAATATTTAACTTTAATTAACGTAAGGTAATTTATAAAAACTAAGTTAATATATTTTCCTAAGTATTAAATAAGTATATTTATTAAAGCTAAAAGAAAAATATATTTTTTTACTTATTTTATAATTTTATTACTTATTAAATCTATACCTCTGCCTAAGTTTTAAAGTTAATATAAAGTATTAAAGTCCTTTATAATAATTAAATAAAAAAAGGAAAACTTTATTTAATAAAAGTTTTTATAACTAAGTTTACTAAAGCCTTTTAATAAATATTAATAATAATATAATTATATACTTTTATTTAATATATATATTTATTTTTTAAGCCTAAGGAAAAGAGTTACTTATTAAAAAAATTTAAAGAAATTTTAATAAATATAAAAACTAAAAGTTTAGTATTTTTTTAACTATTTAAAAAGTTATATATTTAATATTTAAAATAATTTTTAATTTATTTTTTATTTAATACTTTATTTTATTAAGTATAAGGTTCCTAAATTAATATAATATTATAGCTACCTTTTTATATTAGTAATAAAATAATATCTTAGTATAAATTACTTTTTTTAATATTAACTTAAAAGATTTTAAAATTAATATTTCTTTAGTAGCTATAATAAGGCCTATTATTTATAAGCTTATATTAAAAGGTTTATTAATTTTAGGGGGGGTATTAAATATATTTTTATTATCTTTAACTTCTTCCTTTTTATTATTTAAATTAATTATATAAATTACTAACTTAGTAGAAGAGGTTTTTTTATAAAGATTTTCTTTATTTAAGTTAACTTTAATAATAACTTTTTTAGCTAAAACTTAAGGGGGGAAAAGTAAAACTAAGTTAAAAATTAATAGTTATATATAAAAGCCTATTTAAGTTCTTAGGTTAAATATTTTCTTAGTATTAAAGGCTAAGGTAGAAGTAGGTTTAAGTTTAAGTAAGTTAGCTTTATTATATTTTTACTAACTTAATTTTTAAATTACTTAAAGTTAAGCTTTAGTTATTTATATATTTTTTTTATTTTTAATAATTAATTTAGTTAAATATTTTAAAAAGTCTACTATATAAAGGTTATTATAGTTAATATATTAAAGTAAAAATAAGTAGTTAGTTATAATATTATTATATTTAAAAAATAACTTATTATATTTATAATATTTTACTATTAAAAAGTTTAAAGCTAAATTTAATATTTTTATTAAAGAAAATAAAGTAACTGTATATATTAAAAAAATTTTTAAAGTTAATTTTATAATAAAAAATAAATAAGCTTTTAGCCTTTACTTTAGTATATACCTTTTTTAAAATTAGTATATTTATAAAGTAGGTCTTACTTATATTAATATATATTTTTAATATATTATATATAAAAAAACCTTTTATAAATATACTTTTTTAATTTTTAAATTATTATTTTCTATTATTAGCTAAAGTATAATAATTTTATTTTTAATATTTTAATTTTTACCTTTAAAAATAAAGCCTAATTAAACTTTTTAAAAATAAATAATATTTTTATTTATAAACTTTAAAATTTTAATTAATTTTTATTTAGCCTTAATAATTAATAATTTTTTTTATATATAATTTAAAGAAACTTAAATAAAAATATAATTATTAAAATTTTCCTTAGGTTTATTAATTTTATTTATATTTTTTCTATTAGTAATAGAGGCTAGCCCTTTACTACTTATAAAAGAATATTTTAAGTTATTAATTCCTTTTTAAAGGTTTTTATTATAAATTATTATGACCTGACTCTTAAGGTTACGATAACGGGCCAATAGGTTGGCCTGGACTAAATTAACTTTAATCCTTTAACTAATTAAGAAAGGATTAAGATATAACTTTTTAATTTAACAATAGATTAATAAACTATTTATTAATTTAAGGAAGGATTAATATTCTATATATTAATCCTATTTAAGTTAATTAGATATATAAGTTTACTTTATATTATTTATTAAAATACTTAAATAGCTAGTTATTATTATAGTACTTATAATATAATTAAATTAAAATATAAATATT